AGAGAGAGAGAGAGAGAGAGAGAGAGAGAGAGAGAGAGAGAGAGAGAGAGAGAGAGAGAGGTGAATTATCCTTTATAGTGTTTTTCCGTATTTTTGTTTTGTTGTCGCTTGTCATCATGTTGTTTTTCCCTCTTAGATTTTTATGCTCGCTGCTGGATACTTACCTGTTGTCCCTAGATGATGCTAGGGCACGTCGTGAAAAAAGATAGGTCAAGCAAGGGAGGTCTGTTTTACGGCTTTATTGCTCAGTGTGTCACTTATTATTTTGCTACACAGAGCAATGAGAGAGAGAGAGAGAGAGAGAGAGAGAGAGAGAGAGAGAGAGAGAGAGAGAGAGAGAGAGAGAGAGAGAGAGAGAGAGACCAAGAGCTGAGCACTTTCACCCTTCGACGGCATTGTCTATTTAGAAATTCGGACTGCCTCTCAGTTTCCGAACTTTGAAATGATGGTGGACTTCGCACATGCTTTGCTCATGTGTGCATGGCACAGTGCTGTTGTGCACCATGTCACACATTGAACAGCAAACGCCGCAGTCTGCACTGCCACAGCTGCCTCACGCACTGAGCTGCACACTACATTACAGTGATTACACGAATGCGCGACACCTGTGAGCCACCGGCCAAAATGCATCAATTGATTTCAATAGGCACAGGTATACTAGGGGTCGCTACTCAGTTTGACCTGCTAGTCTGCCTAAGGCCAGTGCCCCTGGTAGCCCCGACGCTTCTACCATCTTCACCTGAATAGAACACTGGGTCATTATAGCTTTAGCTGTACACACACACAGTGCCCTAGAGTATTTATAGCATGTATGCGGTTGTGCTGTCGAGTGTATCGGTGTGTGCCACTTGTTGAAGCCTCGGTTACTGATTTAACAATCTTCACGTGATGCGGGAGAAGATGATGATGATAGTCCTCCATCGCGACTAGCAATGGGCTTTACATGTTGTGGAGACGGCTATGTTGGAGTTTGGATGCGTCAACTACGCACATCGGTGTTGTGGCTAATCCGCAGAGGTGATAAATGCTATGTCCCAAAATAGCCATAGACCAAGAACACCGAGTCTGATGGCCGAAATAAGACGTCCAGAACCTAAGTCAAAGGTCTAAGAAGGAATCCAGATGGTCTAACCAGTGTCTGCTCACGGCGCTCAGGGCATACTCACACCAAGTCTTGCACTCTACGAGTTCTCAAAAGCATCGAAAATGCATCCGACTGTAATTACAGCCAGACCTGGATGAATCTGACTGCAATCACGTCCAGAGCCTTGTAGAAAAAGCCCTATAGTCTTCTTCCCCACGAATACAATGCATTGGTTGCAGTGTACTCATATAAAAGGCTCGTGCGTTATGCTGCGGATTTAGGATACCAACTTTCGGAAACGCCCCCCCCCAAAAAAATTACTATATGTGGTTACCTGTGAAAAACACTAGGGCCTGAGAAGAAAGGGGGGCACTGGGCAAACACTGTGGCCTCATTGTCGCCATACCGGCTGTATGTACTATGCGGATTGTATAGTGTAGCGCGCTGCAGCTCTGTTCGAAGTCGATGCAGCTCTGCCACCAAGATCTGCAGTCACCATCAGCCACCAAGACATGTCATGCCCAGATCCGATGAGCTCCGCCATGCCACAATAGCCAGCCGCCAACATCCGCCATGCCTGCAATGCATGAAGAAGTCGCTCGATCAATATGCGCGAAGAACATACGTGCACACTATTCGAATACAACATACGTGCGTGCTATTTGGATCTGAGGGAGCAACTTTGAGAAATTTCCTGGGAAAGTTGAATAGTACATAGTACGTACTATTTCAATCTGTGTGATTTGAATGTGCGGGCTATTTGGATCTGAGTGCGATTATGCCCTCAGTCCACCAATAATTAAAAAGACTTTGTGTCCCCTGAAAATTAAAATATATTCAAACAGAACACTCCAGTCGAAAAAAAAAAAAAAAAAAAAAAAAACAAAAAAAAACCGTGTTCACTGTCAGACAGAAAACTCCCTGCGGCTCTAATGATGTCCAAAATTCCAAACACATTGAACAAGGTGCCGGAATTTGTTATTATTATTATTTTTTTGAAAAAAACACCTGCGACGGGGGTTTCAAAAAAAAACACCAGTGACGGGGTGGGGGGGGGGGGGTTGCTGATTCGAGCAGACAACCCCTCTACCGCCCGTACGTTGGATGGATCCGTTCCATTGGTTGGGAGCTGCACCGGCTTCCCGGTCCAGTGTCCCGTTACGAGACTTATTTTAATGAGCCAAGTAGCCTGTTATGCAGATTGTTATGGTGAACCAAGTAGCATGTTATGCAGACTGTTAAGCCGAAATTGAGATCAAATCACGACCCTTATTCAGAGGCCGCTTCCTTGTCATATTCACGAGCGGGAGGGGGAGGGCCGTGGCTGTGCACCCTGAGATCTCCTCAGCTGGTGTTGTTGTATCATGGCTGTTGTCATGTGGTTGGCTCCACTCTCCATTGCTCAACTTCATTGCTGTAGCTTGTGTCAAATCTGTTGTCTGCAATCGCTCGCCTTTGCCGGCCATCCTTACTCCGGTGGTGAAGTGTCGAGGTGATGCATAGCGGGATGAAAGGGGGGGGGGGGGGGGGGGGGGGGGGGGGGGGGGGGGGGGGGGCGCGCTGGAGGGGACTGCCTGGGGAGAATGGAGATGGTTGGGAAGGAAGGGACTGAGATACGTATAGGGAAGAACGACTGCAGGGGCCCATGCTGCGGGGGCAGTCCGGGAGGAGTCATGGTACCAGCACAAAGTTGGGTTGCAGGTAGGGGACCTGGAAGCAGTGGGAGGGTCTCTTTTGCCAGGATGGCTCTGTGCTCCTCCAATGCTTCCACCAAATGTTAAGCCCGGCATCCAGCTCATAAATAGCAGGTGTGCGTCCTGCCAAAGCTGGAGATAGACTTCCTTAAGGGTTTCTTTGACCGTGGGATTGTTCTCCTCCCGGTGGCACGATGTGAAAAAATTCCAGGTAACGTGAGTATGGGACCTAATTTCCTCTTCACTTACTTGCCGGGCTTGTAGCGGTCGGAACTGGTAGTCCTTTCTTTCGAAGGAGCATCGGGCTCTCCAGGCCAGCATAAGGACCTGCAGTCTCATATATGAGAAGAGGTTGGTTGCATAGGGGGTCCAGTGAGTCTGCAAAGGGTGCTTTTTCCCAAACAGTAGGAGGCTGAAACGGTTTCACCCAGTTTACCTGACAGATGTAGACTGTAGGACTTGATCCCTAGACCTACACCCTTGACCCTGTCTATTGACCCT